CCTGCTGAATTTCTTCAAACTAAACTAAGCTTCTTTGCAATAAAAACTCACTGGTGTTTTATGGATTACAGCTCACTATACCTCTTGCGAGAAAATTCAGCGGAGTTTAATAGGTTATCCAGGGCCAAGTACTGCTGTCATTGTCTAATAAATATGCTTCGATCTACTTTTACTTTGTTGTTTAGTTAAAAATCTTATTTTAGAATCACTCAGGTCACCTTCCTCTAGCAAGGACAACTCCATAACGACACCAGCAAATTTGAATGAGAGTCTCGGTAGCTCGTCGAGCTCTAACAGAAGTTCTCCAATGCTCTTTGGGGACACAGACACGCAATCTGATGTAGATGATATTAGCAAAACGAAATGTACGGCTAAACCTTGCACCTATTGGATAAACGATTACAAGATCCCTTGGAATGTGTTTTCGAAGACGCTATTAGAAGCTTGCACCCGAAATAAAGGCTCGACCAAAACCTCGTGAACGACGTGAAATGATCAGAATCCTTTGCGATGATATAAGAGGATTTGCAGCAGTTCCTGGAAGAAATAATCTGTCACGAATAGCACAAATGATGGTGGCAAAATACAAAGATTCATTCTGTGATGTTATTGGCGATTCTGTGATTGGTTCTGGACATGAATCCTTATTAAGACAGATGGAAGAAAGAATTGCTAATTTAAACAGAAAAGTTGGTAAACCTGCAGCTAAGTTAAGTATTTCCAGCGATGATGAGGATTCTGAACCAAAGAGCAAATCTCGAAAAACGGTTATTCACGACTCATATGGTTGTGTGAATTGGCAGCCAGAGTTGTTACCTACTGATGAAACCACGGAAACCCAAGAGTCAAACAAGATTGGCTTATGGAGGAATTTCGAAAGAAAGAACAGGATAGAAAGAAGGTTTTGTTGTTCATGGAGAATACGTACACTTCACAGCGTTTGGTGATTAATAGGAATAACCCAGATAGCCCAATTGGAGAAGTTAAAGATGAATGGCCCTTCCTTTTTGAAAAGGAATGTATGTTTCTTCATTTTGAGCAGTTGATGGGATTCAAGATACAAGATGTCATGCAAGCGAGTCTAGCGAGTAAAGCTAAAATCTTAGTGGAATATTTGAGACAAAATCACATACAGAAAAAGAAGATTAAGCAAGTGTTGTGGAGAATCGAAGCTGCTATGTCGTCGAAGAAAGACCAGCAGCCTGTGATGATTGGTGTATTCTTGCTGCTCTTGGCATATTTTGAAGAAAAACAAGAATTAATGATCAGATCAGATGTAGATGTAAGTTTCAATTGTAACTGTTATGTAATGTATTACGTATGCACTCTTATATAGCCAGCCAAGCATTTGTATTAACAGACATATAATAACTGGCTATATGGAAGGTATTAACATACAGGCATTTAACTGAATTAGATATCTAACAGCTTATCAGCTAGTGTCAATAACCTTTGTAATTTTAAGAACCGAGGTACGTTTCTGAAGAATGGTTCAGCGTTTTGTGGAGTCACTTGTAAATCACATCAGGGTAATTCCATGGTGACTCATGTTACATTCTGAACCAAACTATCAGAGCCATTTTGATCTGGTGTAATAACTAATGTATTTTTTATGTCACATTTTTGCATGTATGTACAAGTAGTATAGTCAGCTACTGATTCACAGTAAAAATTGAACATTTGATTATAACATGATAAGGTTGGTGGCCGTAAATTGGTGTGTGACCCCTGTTACGACAAAGTGACATGAAGTAGCTAGAACACTTTCACAAAAGACCATAGTTATGCAAACTATATAAAGATTTTTATATAAAGATTTTTATATAAAGGTTTTTATATAAAGATTTTTATATAAAGATTTGACTTATTATGCATACGTTTTTGAAGTCATTTAAAAAACTCGCGGGTCGTGTTTTATTAGGTCTAAAGCCACTCGCGCTGCGCGCTCGTGGCTTTAAACCTAATAAAACACTCCTGCTCTTTTTATAAAGGTTTAATATGGTGTGAAATTTATATACTTGCCCATCATAACGCAGAATTAGTATATATAGTCACAGATAAGCACAAGACCAGACTGAGAGACTTGAGTAGAGGAGGCCCACCTACATGTGACAATGTGCCCTGTCCTGATGAGCCCTATATAAAAGACTGTCTTTATTATTTTACTCTGTTTGTCTAATGCCAGATGATATTAAGAGCAGACTGCTCACTGCTGCCTCACAGTGGGTCAATTTAATTAATACCCTATATATCTGCCAATGAGCAGCCCCTGAGATATATAGTCAGCCCATTAAGCTGCATTGCAATGTACCCAAATGAACAAGCTACTTTCTTACTGAGATTGCAGAATAGGGGGGCCGTGCCCCCCCCCCCCAACACACTTTTTCAGTGGATAATAAAAAATTACTGGTTAAATTCTGGACAGCCTGCCTATAGAATGTGAAATAGCTCCTGACCCATGCTATCCTGCCCCCCCCCCCACTTTTAAACAGGCTCTACGGTCCCCGTTTTATTTTACTCTATCGGTGAGACTAAATGCTGTTGTTTTACTCATCAAGGGAAGAGTCTTAATAAATAGATAACATTTTACCATTGTCTATTCAGAACTATATATGATCTCATAGTTACATGGCAAGAACATACAACATTTGTAACTGACATTGGACGAGGTGATGTGCGATTGTTCTGTGAGAAATTATGACAAAATTTGCTAATAATAGTTTGATATATTTTAGCAGTTAGTTGGGAATGTAATTGCATTGCTGAATATGAAAACATAACACTTAATTTAGAAGCTGGGATTAATGATCTTGGTAAAAACAGATCATGTAATTGCACTCTCCCCTTGACTAGTAAAATTGTCTGACATAGTACAGTAAGGCAAAAATAATACAGTAAGGCACATCAAAACACATTGCCACTTGAAGGGTTAACATATGTGTATATGATATTTTGTGGTGTAAAGATGTATAATGTATCATGATAATAATGTTGTCTTTTATTTTGTATAAATGATCTGTTTAATATACAAAAGAGATGGCACAGGCATCAACATGCAGAAGAACATGCAGAACAATTAAAAAATGAAGTTATAATTATAATACCATGCATAACAATTAATTATAATTAATAAATAATTATATGATTATCATAACTTTATTGAAGTGTAAATAAGTTTTATAGCAATTAAAATGATACATTTTTGTTTTTTAAATTGTGTACTGCTAACAATTTTACAAAAAGTCAAATACACCTTACACCCTTCCAGAATGTATATCACTTTGGCTATGGAGCCTTGTCTTCATGTATGTGGCATGAATTTTAGTCCAATGTCTCAATCCTGAAAATGACTCTATAGCCTAAGCCTATAGCCAAGGTGACATAATTTCTGGAAGCATGTAAAATACAGTATGTTCAGTTTCCAAAGATGTGGCTTGGTACTGTATTTTCAATTGGCACCCAGAAAGGACTTCAAAGGAGTGTGTCAATGTGGAATAAATCTGCAATAAAATATAGATTAATTATACACTCAGGTTGTACAAGAACCACCAGTAACATAATTATAGCATATGATCAAGGTAAACAAAAGAATGTGACTTAACATACTCCTCAGCTTAAACCAGGGGTATCAGAACTATGAGTGTACTTAATATAAAAGTACATTATTTATTTGAATTTATTCAGAGTGATATTTACTGAGAAAACTTGTAAGAAAACAGGCCATCCTGGGAATGAGGTGTGATCATACATGTATGCCTTGGCACATACCTCAGCTAAACCTTATTACCTCAGCTTAGGGAGAAGTGTTATTTTTTCTCAAGCCTCTATATTACTATTTACATGACACAAAAATCAAGAAGTATCCCCACCATGCAGGAAAGCTAGGTAGAAACTACCTTCCCAGATCAGCTTCCAGTACCCCCAGCTTTATATACACAAGTCGTGCATAACGCAAAACCTAATTCCCTCTTTTAAAAATAGTCTGATAATAGATGTCAAATAAGATATAAAAGTCTAAATAAAATTGAATATTAAAATACGTTTTTTACCTTTGTAAATCCGAGTGTAAATCTATATATTTCAAGTATCGTCTTTTCCCACATTTCTTGAGTTTTTAAAATTGGTTTGTCGTCTTTCACGGGCGAGATTAAACACGTACGACTTGGATATCTTTGACCGAATGACCAAATGGTCAAAGAAAGTTTATCTCGAAAACATTTAAAAAAGGTTCAAAACAACGAGAAGTCGAGAACTATATTATCTGCTAAACTGTTTTGCAAAAACCAGGGGGGGGGGTGAAATCTGCCGTGGGCTCAGTATTGAGCCTGCTCAGTGGTAACTACTATGAGAATAAAGTAAGTGTTGTCATGGAAATGGCGTCATTTTTTTCATCGAAATCCGCCATGTTTTTGCGGACACTTCGTTGACTGAACGAAGTATAGGAGCAGGTCCTCCAGTTATTATACAGCTCAGTGTTTGTGGCTTCCCGCCATTTTGGAAAATTAGTCCGCAGGCCTTTCGGTTCGTTTCGCACCAATTTTATTTTTTTGAAAGGCCTGCGGAGGAGGTAGCATGTAAATGCTGTGATTTCGTAAATCAGTTTATAACTTATACTGATCACAATACCATTTTATAATATTTTCTCTGTCTAAACAACTGAAATTTTGTTATACTATTATTGCCCTAATTTTCCGAATGGCCAACCCGATTTTCCGAATATGTTAATTTTACCATCAATTTAATACGCGTATGATCTCTGCATGTCGCAATGACAATTGTGCCCAAAGCTCACTACCAGCAACTGGGGACAGCTGTTTCGCCCTTTTGGGGCTCGTAAGCGCAGTGTAGCTGATAGTGAGCTTTTATCCGAAAAGTATATATGCAACCAACAACGATCGCGAGATGATGGATGTCCCACAATATTTTATTGACCATAATTAAGAACAGGATCGTGGAACCCAATTTCGTTCTTTGGCGGACACCGACTTTGACAGGAAGCCAACTAAAAATAGCTTCGCCAAGTTTGACGCACTGTCTTCGCCCTGATTGGAAGTTCGCAATCCGTGAGAAATTATGACCAATACGATCGAAAGCTTTAGCGAAATCCAAAGCGCATATGCGAAGGTAATGACCAGGGGTGTCCGAATGGGAGAGCCAAGAATGCAACATATCAAGCAGGCAATACGTGGTGGATGAATCCTTTAAAGAACCGAACTGTTGTGGGTAGATATAATTCCTGACGTCAGAGATCATCCATTTAACGTACGACGAATCTTTGAGAACTTAAGAAAGGCATGCCGTTTGTAATATAGGTCTTTTTATCAGCCTCGACGGTGACTTAATTGCTTGATATTTGGAATGAAAATGTTCGCATCTGGTTCCGCAAAAAAGGTGTGCAAATTCCTTCAAGAGACATACATACATACATATACATACATACATACATACATACATACATACAAACCTTTATTTAAACCACGCTAGCCTCACAGCCGTTGGAAGGCTGGTTTCCATGAGGGGCGTGAACTTACCTATTTACGATCATCATCTGCCCGGCGTCTTGTAGTCCCTATTATCTCTGGAACCTTCCAAGATGAAGCAGCTCGAGTGTTCAATTCCTTACCTGAAGAAATTCGAAACTGCGATACATTTAAAGAATATTGAAGAACCTCCTCCGAGTACTTCAAAACATTAGTGAAAAACAGAATTAGTGACACGTCGTAAACTCTGTTGACATTGTGTATATAACTATACTGTGTTTTACTGTGTATGTCAATTGTTAAATACTAATAATGTCAATTGTTAAATACTGTAATGTACAACATACTACGTATTGTAATACTTGTTGTGTCGTATTATGTACTCCGTTGTATATATTGTATACTTTGTTATGTTAATCAAACTCACTTGTAGCATAGAAGAGCTACTATGTGGAAATGCTATTAAATCATTATTATTATTATTATTTTATTATTATTAAGAGAGCCCAATAGAAACCATAAGACTTATTAGCTAGGTTCGGGCTGCCTTAATCGTACTATTCATGTAGACGGAATAATTCGTGCTCCATTGGAAACAATTGCGATTTATCAGTGTAATTATACATAATAAGCATCTACCTTTAGTGACAGTTAGTTTATGTAAGAAATGCTTATTGTTTATGTAAGAAATTATATTAGAACTAGTCGTTAAATTCAAGGAAAAATATATATATTACTTGCATTACAGTTA